GCCAAGAAAGGTAGGACATTTTATTTTACATACAAAAAGGGTGCAAACTGAGTCCTTTCCTCCCCAAACTGGGAAGAGGTATACTTAAAATCACATTTGTGTTGTCCATGACGCCCTATGAAATGGGCTACTCTGAGATAACACATCCAGACCCACATTCCATTTTCCCCAAAGGCTATTTCCTCTGCAGAGGAGTTCTCCTCAATGGTGTCCACATCTCTCTATTGGAGGAAACATTTCAAATACACTTGAAATCGACATTCATTTAAAAAATACTACAAGTTTCATTCTTCACAGCTGCGTTTTTTTTTTTTTTTTGACCAGTGCCAGGGTTTATGAAACATTATCTTTAAAAAAAAGTAAAAAAAAAGGCATTTAACAATAACTAGACACATCCACACATGAATTAAAATTGATTTCCACAGCTGATTTATACATTATCTACTTTTAAAAAATTGCAACCAACATCCCAACATCTTTTAAAGAGTACAATGGGTAAAACTTAAAAAAGACAATAAATTAGAGAGTGTAATCTATCCAATGGGAATTGCTGCATCAACATTTCTTTCCATTGGAGTGTTGGAGCATTTTTGGTTTCGTCTTTTCTGTGGTTCTCTGCTTGATAAACAGGGCTCCTTCCCAGAGTCAGCCTGCTCACTGAACTGAGCAGCTCACACTTGTCACACTGTCTCTGAGAACACTGAGGAACACACAGTTCCCAGGAGCCTGTGCTGTCTATGAGAGTAAAACACACACAGATGAGCACATATATCCATCTGTAAATACATGTATCCTCCAAGAAATGGCTCATGTTTCCTGAGACATTCCTAACAGATTGGTAAGCCTTCTAAAAGGCTTTGGTGCATGGGCTGGCCTGGGATTTGGTCTAGAGCTCTTGAAGAGGGGAACCAAAAGGTTTCACCTACCCTGGAAGGTGAGTTTGGGTTAGTCAGGATGGCAGTCGTCTGTGCATTGCTGGAATGACTGCAATGCCCTCTGGCTTATGACCACAGATAATCCTCTGCTCTGAGACCTTAAAGGTGGTGATGGCACCAGACAAGTGATTGTGATGGGGGGCGGGGCAGGGGCAGGGGATGGGGGAGGGTAGACAGAGAGAGAGACAGAGAGAGAGAGACAGAGAAATATCCTGTCTATACAACCGAGGTTTCTTTATAACATCAAGTTTGGTAATTCAACTAGAGATATGTGGAGTACACGTTCACTTTTTTTTCCCTTGATAAGCTGATCTGTAAATACTGGAGTGGGTTTCCTGGTTGTTGTTGTTGTTGTTTTTTTGAGAAAATATGTCAACTACTATTAACTATATTCAGGGATCTACTTACTATTTTGATACAATAAGAACTCTATTCTTCTGTACTTAGTTACCTGCAAAAGGAGTAGGACAAACACCTTAAGACTGGTTATTGGATCAGACTCCCAAGACTGGTGATGAAAACACTGTTCAGAACTCTACAAACTCACAGAAGGACCACAGTGGCCTCTTCTTTTTCATACTCAAAAACTAACCTCCTTAAAACAAAGTCCCCCAACAAACAAAGGAATTCTTATCTGAGTCCTACCAACCCATTATGGGGAAGGCTGGAGTTATTGGCCATCAACATCTACATGGGACTTCCTTGAAGTCTGCAAAATCAAGAAACCCAGAGATAAGTGCTTGTCACCCACATGGCCAATCCAGATGGGGGACCTAATTACCCTGGCTCCCTGAGGGTCTCTGGAATCAAGCTGCCCACTTAGGGGCAATGGAGGGGATGGTGGCAGTGGCTGGCAAAGGCAATGTCGGTTGTATGACCATGCAAACCCCTGGTCTTAAAAACTCAAGCCCTGGCATGACTGACACTGGACAAAGCATTACCAGGGCAACTAAACAGGAATGGAAAACTGGTTTCGGTATGAGCATGGAAGAGGTGGCTGGGACACAGGAGTCATGTGGGCTTGGGAGACCAAGTTCCTCTGAGGAAATGCTTTCTAGGCTTCTGAGAAAGTTCTTCTCGAGAAGTGCTGCTATGTTTGCTCAACACGGAGGGGAATGGATTATCTTTTACATTGTTTTTTAAATTAAGGCTATGATCCTTAGCAACCACTTTAACATAACATTGCCATTGCTGTATACTTCTGGCATTACAAGTGGTTGCTAACATTGGACATCAACACTACATAAGCACTACAGCATACTTTTCCTCTGAACTAGACTGGAAGTTATTTTACACAAGATGGACACCATCTGGCAGTTGCTTTTTATAAGGGGATGTAGCACATTGGGAGAATGCACAACTCCCAGCAAAAGTGTCAAGGTGTCACACCTTGGTGGCTGATGATGATGTGTCTGATGCTGCTTGGTCTCTGAGGGAATATGAAGTGCCTGACTGCTAACACCCGGAAATCATTTTTTGGGGGAGATGATGAACCATATTTCATAATTATTTTCATGTCGATGAAGGGCATCGTTCATGGGCTCAACAATATCACAAGGCTTTCTCCTTGTTCTATTGTTGGGACCAGAGGATCTGGTAGAAGGAAATGCTGAATCTTTGTATCATAACTTGAAATTGATAAATACGAGAAGACACAGATTTCAAAAGAAAGTTGAAAATACAAGGTTAAAATAAAACTACACTAACCATTAGCCCCACCAAGGGGCAAATGTTGGGTCATGGAGATAGTTAAGGGGTAAAGTGTTTGCTGTGCAAGCATAATGACCTGAATTTTGGATCCCCGGCACACAGAGATAAAAGCAAGACATTGTGGCACATGCTTGTCATCTTAGTACTAGGAGGCAGAGACAGGGAATCCAGGACTCTGGGTGGGCAGCTAGCCTAGCCAATCAGTAAGGACCAGGATCAATCAGAGACACTGTCTCAAAAACTAATGTGGAGAGGCATAGAGGAAGATACTCCATATTAGTTAATCCTTAGCCTCAACACACGCAGTGTGAGAGGAGTGTATCCAAACCCCTCCACCCCCTTTTATACATACAAAGAAATATAAGCCTGGAAGGCCGTGACTATGTATTGTAACATGAATTGTTAGAAGGTCTTATTAATAAAATCAAACCTGAGCCAGGTATTGGGGTGAATGCTGGAAGATCAGAAGAGCAGAACAAGCCACAGCTAACCTCACCTTGCCAACTCCTCAGCTGATCCTGTTTCCTCAGACTGGAAGCCTCTGAGTCTTCATCCAGAATGAATCTCAGCTGAACTGCTGCTCGAATGCCTAAATGCTTAAACAGCCAAATGCTTTTAGTTTCTGGTCCTCACGCCTTATATATCTTTCTGCTTTCTGTCTCACTCCCTGGGATTAAAGGCTCACTTTCTGGGATTAAAGGCATGAGTCACCATGCCTGGCTGTTTTCAATGTGGCCTTGAACTCACAGAGATCCAGAGGGATTTCTGCCTCTGGAATGCTAGAATTAAAGGTGTGTGCTACCACTGTCTATCCTCTATATTTAATATTGAGGCTGTCCTGTTCTCTGACCCCAGATAAGTTCATTAGCATGCACAATATTTTGGGGAACACAATACCACCACAATGTATTGCTCCAGGAATGCCATTCTTATGTAGACTGTTTCAGGAGGTGAGCTCCTCTGGCCTTTTTTAAAAAAGAAGAAAATAAAACAGAGTGACTGGAGAGATAGCTCTGTAGTTACTAGACTTTCTGCTTTCAGAGGACCTGCACTCCCTAGCAACCACTTTAGGTGGCCCACAACCAACACAACCACTATTCTTCCACCTTCAGAAGATCCCACATGCTTACCTGGCCTCTGCAGATACCCACAGACACCTGGCATATACACACAGACACACAGACAGTACATAAAAAATTAATACTAAATCCCCAAACAAAATATACTTACTAATGGCTCTCTCTATTGAGGATGTGGCGAAAGATGAAAGAAGAACTTTAGGAAGGAATCTGCTGGTTGAATAGATTAAAAGTGAAGAGACTAAGGTTGCTAGACCTGAGATTATGTTATAGCAACAGTGCCAAAGGAAAAACAAACCCCAAAGATAACGTCACCACTACTGATTCATAAAGAGGGCTTATCTTTGTTTGTAAAAGGTTAAAGTATCCTTTTATCTTGTTAAGAGAACTTTTAAGCTAGGCAGCCTTCTCACACTTTGCAGATGGAAGTGACCTCGACTTTGTGACATCTTTGAGGCTGAGGAAACTTGGAAAATAAAGGTTTTGCCATTTTTAGTCTGAGTGGATAGTCCTGTATCCACCCTGAAAACTTGTTAACAGTCGTCAGAAAATATTTATTTTATTGGCAAAGAAGCAGGAGTGAAATACAGTTGTCAGTGTTTTCTTTAGAATGTTTCATCCTTTGTATTAGATCGAAGAATGGCTGACTGTTTTCACTACTGTTCTTCTCAGAGCTGTTATATGTTATATATATATATCCTAGTGTCTCGGTGATATAGAAAGCAGCTGGAGAAGTTATGGGTCCAGAATGCCCCCCTTTTACATTATAGCACCCCGTGTTGTGTCATGCTCCTGGGTAATGGATATCTTAGTTTGCAAAGCTGGGGGATTGACAACAGTAAGTCCTTTGGCTTTTGAGAATTCATACTGCTTGCTCTCTAGATAGGTTCCTTTTGTACAGAGTCAGAGGTTATTGATTAAAGTAGATCATGAAGCCTCAATCCTGGAAAGAAAATCAAGTTCTGTTTGTCACATCAAGTGTTATCCAAGGTGTCTTGATGGGCACCTGTAATTATTTCAGTGGAACTCTGCTGGAGGGAACTTAGGCAGCATCAGTTTTCAGGACAGCATCTTTGGAGCTGAGGATACATCCTTTTCTCTGAGGATGGATTATTGTCTCTTACAGTGATTTGCCTCTTTGCAGAGGCACCAAATCTCTGTGTCTAAAGCAGCTCCAGGGGAAGTTCTTTTCTGGGGCCCTGGTTTCCATAGCTGTAGCAACCATTGCCTCTTTGGGATTCTCTTTATTTTATTTTCATTTTTTTCTTACATTATATATATGAACAATTCTGCCTGCATAATGTCTACATACCACATGTGTGGAGAGCTTGAGAAGGCCAGAAGACAACATCACTGCCTCTGGGGTGGAATTACAGATGTTTGTATGCAACCATGTTGGTTTTAAGAAGTGAACCCCTTATTCTGCAAGAGCCGTTAGTGATCTTATCTGCTGGGCCAAATCTCTAGCCCCTGGAATCATCCTTTACCTATGGGTTTCTCTGAGGTGACAGGTTATAATCTGCCTGGAAAGGAAGTTATTTTCAGGGCTAATGTTATATACCAGGCTTATTTGTGTGCCCATAATCAGTTTTCCTGGACTTTTTTGGACTTTCTCTTTTATTCTCCGTTGTTGAGAATCCCAAAAGCCAAATCAAAGGTTAGGTAACTTGGTCTTTGTCCTATTTCTCTTTATTGATTTCCCTAATGTTTGGAGCATCCTGTCTGAAGAAATAAGCAGCAAGCAGTATCTGGATTTAGGAACAATTGTAAAACCACTTAAACTTAACCACAGGTGTGTTATTATTCATTTTATCTTTCATACATTTTTTTTTATGTGACTCATTTGGACAATCTGAAACATGCTTACCTTTCTGTTTTTTTTTCTCCCTCAGTTTTTATTGTGATCTTGGAATGATATTTACTTTAGGGAAGAAAAAAAACCTTTCAAGATGATCCTTAATCATCTTAAAGTACTTATCTTCTTTTTCCTAAACTATCTAAAACCAATATTAGCCTTTGTTTTTCCTTTTAACTTTATGGTTCCAGTTGTCTCATTTATCTTTAGAAGACATAATAGAAATAGAAAACAATTTCTTAGCAAAATAACTATCTTTCGATAAACACACAGGCAAACCATGTTAAGAGTCCTGAAGATACTATTATTATCATCATTATTATTTTAACAACAAATTCAAATTAACCAATTTGCTGGCCATTTCAGTCCTATTACACCAGGTGTGTAATCCTCAGGTTTCTTGGACCATTTGGCGCAGATCTTATTTACCTGTCACACTATCAGACAGCCTGGGTGATCTTGATTATAAAACAAAGGAGGGTTAGGAGGCAAGTTTGAACTTTCCACCTTTCTAGGCTCACTCATTGTTTGGCTGGGTTTGAACCCATGGCTCCCGAATTTTCTACTCTGACATGTATTTTGTAGTGTGAGTCCTCACTATGGGCTGCTTTGCAGTATTTCTTCTATCTCAGTGGTTTAAGAGCTTTCTTAAGAATTTCTAAAACAACCCATGCTTCACTGTAGGTGCAGAGAAGAGGCTTGCCTTCTTAAATTTCTCTGGTTTTGGGTTCAGATAACCATGTTTGTTAAAAGAATAAAATAGACTATTTTTTTTTCTTGACCTTATGCTCTTGGTTATGTATCAATATCTGGGATATGAAACCTATGTCCTCAGGGCTGGAACTGCCTACACCAGTGGTTCTCAACCTTCCAAATGCTGCAACTCTTCCTCATGCTGCGCTGACCCCCAACTATAAAATTATTTTGTTGCTACTTCATAGCTATAATTTTGCTACTCTTATGAATCATTATGTAAATAACTGAAAGCAGGCTATTTGATATGTGACCCTGTGGAAGTCAGGACCCACAGGTTGAGAAACACAGGTCTACACTAAAGGACCAGGAAGGATATGAAAATACAGATAGGATGAACTAGAAGAAATCAGAGTGGAGAAGCAAAAAATGTCAGCAGGAAAGTGTGGAACAAAGCTAAGAAGTGATGATAAACATGAGAAGAAGACCATGGCATTAGGCAGTTAAAGTACCTACCATCACTGAAAGTCTAGAGAAGCATGAGATCTGGGAATGGGACACAATGGCCAGTTATGTACTGATACAGTAGTAGCTACCTACCAGCCCAGTACTATCATGGCCACCAACAACATATTGATGCTGCCATCTTGACTAGCATTATCATGGCTGTTACCACACAGGCACCTTCATCTCAGAGGCCTTGGCGTATTCTATGCCCACTCTATGGCTTCTGTGCATTCTTGACCTAGTGGCCAGGTCCTTAGTCATGGCCAATATCCTGCCAATATTGTGGATGGAGGAATCAGTGTGTCTGTGAGTCAACTCTCAAGCTCTGCCCTGTGACCTTGGTGTTGAAGCTATCCATCTTTGTAGCAAAGCCGAGACTACACTACCAATCCCCAGCTGTGGGATATGAGAAGTTGAAGTGGAGGGAGGCAGGGAAGGAGATGGGTCTTATTAGAGTCTGTCAGA